ATGCTGTTATTAATTTCCCCAAATATCAATAACTAGTAAATCAGGAAGATAAATGAGTAAACAAGACTCAGAACTAGTCATCAAGGGTATTAGTAGTCATAACCAGCAAAAGAGGAAGAAAGAGAAACCTCTGTTACCTGGAAGCTTGACCAAGGATGAACAACAGAAAATAAGCCCATAAAACTTGCCTGTTTTTATCAAATTGATTGTAACTGTGAGCTGCAATATTTGGGACAGAACTGTCTGAGTTTATAGTTTTCTACGCCTGCCAAAAACAGATGCAGACTACCACACTAGCTGTCCTGCAGAAACTAAATTAAGCAAAGGCAAATATCAAGTGGAAAGTTGTCAGTCTGTTGAATGAATGGCTTCATTTTACACACTAGAGAGTATCTTCATAAGAATATGTTTTAATGTAAGCCAGTCATTTTAAGTGCATTGCTTATTACAAAAATAATAATTTCCCTTTAAATCAATTATAGACACCTGCTCATAACCTTCTTAAAGTCTATTTTGTTTTATACACAACAGCATAGTGTTGTAAGATGATTGTTCGCCATCAAAGGAAGTACTGAAGTAAAAAACATAATAATAATTTTTAAATCCGCATAGCATGAAAAGTGTTTTAAAAGCCAGTTATCACCATGGATCCCAATTTCAAAATGAAATAAAGTTCTAGTCCAAGAACAATTTTTTGCAAGTCCTTTTAAAACTTTCAGTAATGTTTGTTTACTTCAACAAAGACAGGAAGGCAAGAGTTTATTAAAATCTAACACCCTTTGGCTTATTTTTTTAGTTAAAAAAATGCAAAAGTCATTAAATTAAAAGTGTGGTTTCTATCTCCGAACACATATGCATACACATCTCATCATCATCACAATAATAGAAACATCATTGAAATACTAGACTCCTAAAAGCAGCTTTTCCACAGATGCATTCGTCTCCCTGTTTTGAAGGTTTTCCTTTGAATGAAGATCTCCTTATGTGTATTACAGAGATCTCCACTGTGGAAATCAGAATAAATTCACTTATGACTTAAAAGAAAAGTAAAAATAATACTGAAATATGGTAGGGCCACATATAACTGACTTATGAATGTGCATACTGATTTGGATCCTAAGCTGTTTTATAAGCAAGTGGGTAGAAAATTTTTATAAAATCATTTAAAATATAAGTAGTCGTGAAATATGCTCAGTTCTGAATTCAACCCAGACTTCACAGCTGGTATGACACTTTCCTCCTTTTCTTTAGTGTTACCTTTAAGACACAAAAGACAAAATCTAAACAGTCCCAGAGACCCTAACAGCATCTAAAATTCAAAGAAGTGACAAACTATGTATTAGGCACTTGCTGTGTTCCACCATTTATTTAGAGAGTGTCAGGCTTGGTTATTATGTGTGTGAAAGCGTTCTGCACACACATATCCTAACTTACAACAGATAAATCAGGAAGCCATAAACGGCAGCTCACGGATGGTAAATAAGACTTTGCCAACAGAGTACTCATGAAGCTTCAGAATGCCTTACATTTAGAGAAATCGAGTCGGAATGTTGGCACTATAACTCTATTCCCTCCTCGGGTGTTTTATTTTCACATTATTAATATCCAGAAATAATCATTAAACTTTAGCACGTTATTGGCCCTGACTATTGAACTGACTGGAGATGTTTTTATCCAAGGGTACAGCTTTAAAAGGAAGTTATGAAATCTAAAGAGAGATAAACGCTAAGAACTATATGTTTAACTTCTTAAGATTCAGCACATCATTAATAAACTTTCACTTAAGGTAAAAAAAAAAATCCTCATAATTTTGGTATCATTTCCAGACTGTGCTGTCAGCATCAGAACTTACAGGAAACGCTTCATCTTCCCATACAAACCCTGTATTTATTCACAACCCTGGCATACTTGGGGTAAGGGGGGAAAAAAAAGCCTGGATGATTATTTTAGATCCTTTGCTTTTTCACATTAACCGGTGGGATGGCTGAGAACGTCTGCTAGGCAAATGAGCAACATGTAAGAAACTTAACAGTGAGCTCAAAAACTTTCATTCTCATTTTGTCCACGTCAAGAACTGAACTGGCTGCCCGCATTACTTTCCTTTACTGTCCCTGGCATTTTTAACTCTGGCAGCCCTGTCTAAATGATCAACTTTTCCTAAAACCAGAAGGAAAGAAACATGATGCCAGCCAGATCCATAGGTTTTAGCTTCAGAGCTGGAGGACTTTGAAGAGTTGTTGGAGGGTTCCTATTTTATCTTTGCTTTGAGCCATCAAATTTAGCCAACAACCAGGCCTAGAATTATCATTTCTTATAATTTTGTCTCAGGCCCTATCTATATTTTGCCTTTGTACTTATTATCTTGCCCCAGCTCTTTCCTTGTTCACCTGGTAGGTTTACAAAAGTTCAATGAATCTACAAAAGTTCAATGAATCGGCCTAACTTGTCTCGCATTTGACTATTCCGCTAAGCTTCTCACTTCACTTACCTTGCTTAAACTCTAGCCGCGATTTTCCAAAATAGGATAAGGATGAATATTCTATAATAATTTTGATTCATCAATAAGATCCATCGCTCTTACTCAAAAACTTTCAAAGTATCAATTCTGGGGCCTAAAAAGATATGGGGAAGTAAAGCAGGTCCTAAAATTTAATAAGTCCAAGATTCCCTCTGAAACCCCACCAGTCCTTGTCGCCCTCTAACTTAAATTGCTTTAGAGTCCTAGGGCCATAAAACAGTTACTGACTTCCCTGGGGAAAAAGGGAAACACCACTATCTCAGACAGGTACTAAACAAAAAAGCTTTTCCAGCCACAAAAACAGCTTTGCACTTCAAACAGCTCCCACCTCCGCCTCACCCTCAAATTATTCATGGGGTCCTATAAACCTGGAGTTATTTGGAGGGACAGCGGTGTTTGCCTTGGCCTTTCAAAGATGCGTTTCAGACTCTACAGCCCAAACAGGAACTAGACAGAAAGCAAAGCTCCCGTCCGCCTGGATGTCCCACCGCTGTCAGGCATTTAATCACCGGCCAGTGTCCCCTGACCCGCGCGACACATGGCGCATCAACCGCACCGCAGAGGAAGTCTTCCCCTTCCTCAGCCCCTACGGAAGCTCCCTGGCTGCAAGGCCCCGCCACATGGCACCCACAGGGCACAGACCCCTGGGCCAGGCTGCCCAGTGCCGCTCAGAGGCGGGTGCATCAAGGGGATGCGACACCCTCCTTCTCCAGCCCCAGCTGGGCCTTTAAGGGAAAAAAGTTTGAAGCCTGGCTTTGTAAACTCTTCAAAGCCAAAGCCAGTCCTGTGCTATTTCCCCACTTTGGGGACCACACGAAGGCCCCTTTCGGAGCCCCTCCCGACCCTCCCAAGTTTGCCCAACTTACTACTCTGCATGCCGGTGCCTAGTCTGCTCCCCGCTTGTCAGGAGCCCCCAGGAAACTTGCGGCGGCGGCGGCGGCGGTGGCGGCGGCCCCTCGGGTCCAACCACCTCCAGCTCCTCCGCTGCGCCCGGTAGGAGAGAATTAAAATCAGCCAGAAAGAGACAGCGAGGGGGAGTGGGGCTGCGAGGGGGAGGGGGCACCGGCCTGAAACTTCTTTTTTTGGCAAATGGGGATTTGTTTTTCCTCCTCCCCGGCGGCTGAACTTGACCCTCCTGACTCCAGGGGCTACTGCAGTTTGAAGTCGCTGGTTTCCAAGGCTCAGTCGCCTCAGACCCACCAAAAGGAGGAAAGGAAGCGGGGAAAGGAGAGCAGAAGAGAAGAAAGAAAGAAAGAAATCACACGCGCAGAAAGGAAGAAAGAAAATGCATGTGAAACCCGAGAAGCCTGCGCTTGGCTTTCTGCACACTCTCCCTCTGCTTTTTTTTTTTTTTTTTTTTTTTTTTTCAAAGAAAGTCACTTTTAATTCCCAGGGCTCCCCGCTCGCGATCGCCCACATTTTGCGCACACACGCGCGGGCGCAGCACTCGCATCGCGGCGCCCGGAGCCGGGCGAGGGCAGCCCGCGCCCCCCGCGCCCCCGGCCCCGGCCCCGCGGCCCGCCGGGCCTCCCCTCCTTACCTGTTGATTAATCGTCAAGAACACCCTCGGCAGCCCGAAAGATGGTGGCTCGGCGGCCAGAGCCATGAACCGTCTTCTGTTGTTTGCAGAGTTGATCTTGGGATTATTGGGGGGGGGGGAGAAAAAGGTCTTTCCTGCCTCCCCCCCTTTCCCTTCCCTCCCCCCCCCTTAGGAAAAAAGAGAGAGAGAGAGAGAGAGAGAGAAAGGAAATAGAGCAAGGATGTGCCCGGTGCCGGGTGGGAGAGGGGAGGGGGTGTTGTTTTTTGTTTAAAAAAAAAAAAAATCAAGAAAGAAAGAAAAGAAAAAATAGGAAGGCGAGAGAGCGATCGAGAGGACGCGAGGGCTGGAGAAACGAGCAGCACCAAAAAAGAGGACGCTTGAGATTGCAGTGAGATCGGGTCTTTATCAGAAATGTTATCGCTTGTCAGGACCTCAGTCTCCGCGCATTACGTCAGTTTCAAGACACCAACACTATTAATATCAAAGGAGCCTTCGCGGAGGAAAGCGCCACCCCAGACCGAGCTCCCTTAAAGAGACAGCGCGAGCGCGCGTCCCCGCGCCGCCGCCGCCGCCGCCGCCCCGCCCGGCCCCGAGCACCCGCCGCCGCCGCCCGCCGGGACCGGCCCCGGCCGCGGCCAGCCGGCTGCGCGAGAACTTCGCCCGAGTCTGAGCGCCGCAAATGAGCGCGGCGCGGGGCAGGGGCTCGGCCACCTTCCCGCCCCGCCTCCCCGCCGCCTCCCCACCCCCACGTGTGAACGTGCGGGCTGGAAAAGAAGGAAAAATCGGAACGCTTTGGGAATAAAGCGATAAAGACGAGGACCTACCTTGGGGGTGTGGGGGGTGCGCGGGGGGCAGGCAGTGCGTGGCGGCCAAGGCGACGTTCCCCCAACACTCGGAGRTGCTGTCCTGAACAATTCAAAGAACTCTTAAAAGTGCTCTTACCTTTTCGGTGGTGACTTTCCCTCGCCCTCTCAATTAAACGACGCACGGTTCCTGTGTGCGTGTGCGCCCCCTCCCCCGCCCTTTATCTGTGGCGAGAAGTCTCGGGACACCTCGTCGTCGGTGGTCAGGGTTTCCCATGTTCTGATGGCAAGAGGGCTGCAGGAGAACAACTTGAACTCTATCCTGAGTTGGAGAAGTGCGGACTGAGGTTGCTATGGTTTTCTGAGCTGAGGAGAAGGCAGAAGCTCAATGGGTGCTTTAAGGGGGTATCACAAAATAGATAGAATGGGAACATTATTCAAATACTGCCAGATTCATACATGCTGCTCTTTGGGGTTTTAGTGGCAGATAAGGAACGCTGAATTTGGCATGACATTCTTTTTCCTACTTCACATCTCCAGATTTTCTCATTAAGAGAAATTGCCTCCACATAAAGTTTACTGAAATGAGCGGTGTTTTTTTGTTTTTAACTTCTAAAGATCAACAATGCATAAAACATTACCATGACAGGATTCAAAGTATAGGAGGTGTTAAAAACCAAGTAAACATTTCTTGGGCATTTGGACTTCTTTTCTTCAGTTGGGTGACTTTAAGTGGCATGTTTTTCCTTTGGTGAAAGTCAGTTTAAAACTAATTTTGTGCTAAAACGAGAAACATCCTTCTCTAAACGACAGAATGATTAAAATTAGAATTTTAGAGAGGTACAATCATGAATCTGTGAGCTGAAGATGAAGTGATTTCCTCCGAAATATTTTTCACTAAATGATTCTTGCATCTTTTTAGAGAAAAGATGAGTRTATTTGCGAAACATACTATTATCAGGGATAAAAAAGCCATATCATATAAAAAATTGAAACAAAATATGTGCTTTCAGAACCTTACCCTTTTTTTCTGTAAGGTCTTTAATTCTACTTAATATACCCAATCAGACAGATATGTGATTCCTTTCTGTAGCACATTTATTACAGAAGTATTTTGGTAGCATGCTTCATCTACTCTTTGTGAATAGAAAAGCAATAATTCTTTTGCAATAGAGAAACCAGGCAGGTGAAAGAGTAGTCAAAATACAGTTTCACAATGAGGCAAACAATATATTCCCTAAAGGAAGAAGACAATGAAACTCATATGCATAGAGTTATTCATATGTTATCATCAATTTAAATTAATTTGAGAACAGACTTAGATTTATACATATATTCCTGCATGCAGGAAAAATTAATATCAAAATCTTCAGTAAATCTCATAGTCAACTACTATGACCACCTGCATATTTCCACACTGGAGTCATTAAATACTGTCCACCCCCAATTTCCCCTGTAAAAAGTATCCCTATATTAAATATAGACCTTTTATTTTCTTTTTAAGCCATAAATTAAGTTGCTGACTTTTATGGAAATATGCACGGCACATTGAGACACATTTTATTCAGAAAAATAATAAGGATAAGAGTGAAACATTTTTTAGCCATGACTAACTGAAAATATTAGGTCAAATAAATTTGGAAACGTGTATCTGACTAGTCAGACTGTTTGAATTTAAAGGGTTAAAACCACCTAAAACTGTTGAAGCTGGTATCTAACTGATAAAATCTGTGGCCATAGCATCTTAGAGAAGTTAAATAGTACAGTTATTCACAAGGATTAGTTCTCTAATCTCTTCTGCTCCCCAAGATTTAAATGACATTTTAAAAGGGGAAGTGATCTTCCTCTCAGTCACCCTCAAATCTAAAGCAATCGTCAAGAGTGTAAATTTACTCACATGAAACAATCATTGATTAAATTGGTTCAAAAAATTAAATTACACGCTTTTGCAAGCACAAAACCCTTGAGATGGCTGGTGTTTTTCCACCTGTAATAATACAAAATCTGACCATAAGTGTACCCAAAATTATATATTATCTGAAAAATTAAAGCCAAAGGTCTAAGGATGAATTATGTCCTTTAATTGAAAGGATAAAGTTACACTCCAGGTACTGAAGCCAACAAATTCATGGTCACTTAAAATTTTAATGAATGAAGTTTCACGGACACAATTTTGCTAAAGTTTGCCTGAGAAATGAAGAATGTCTTCATGTTACTTTTTTGTATTTCAAGTTTGAATAGAGCAGATCAAATGCTGTCTGTATCAATCCGTTTACATTAACCACAAAAGATCTGTAGAGAACTTAATAAAAGCACAAATATTTTTGTAATTTTTTCAAGCAAATTACTTATTTATTTATGAAATAATTTATGAAGAAAATTTTTACCTCATGCTTTAGATATATTACATATGCTCTTGATTGACACAATATGTTTAAGCTCAAAGGCCCTCATAGCATTTTTTAACTCTAGTAGGAATATTTCAAAACAACCAACTAATACATGAGGTCATAATTGTTTGACAGTTGTTTTTAATATATAAAATAAGTTATGTATATTGTTTTCCTTCAAATGTTTGTTGATTTGTTTTTCCAGTCCTGACATTTGCATGGCACAAACTGAATTAGGGGAAATATTAAAGATTTATTTACATTTATTATCTTCTGYTGTCAAACATATGCAAAACTCTTAAAACCATTACCTTCTTTTGCTTTTATTAGCACTGCATTTCTGAACAATGGAGCCTGGATGTTAAAATGACAACCTGTGCTTTTATAAGGTGCATCAGAAAATAAAGAAGAAATTAGCAGAAATAAGAAACACAAACAAAAGGAGAAACTTTCAACTAAAATAGTTTCTTTATAATCTTTCATAGTGCTTTGAATTATGGAATACCTTCATGGCTGGACCACTGATAAAACAGTTCCTCGAACTGTATTGGGCTTATTATTTAACAAGATGACATAATATACTCTGTTTTATTATTTAAACATTCTTTCCCCCCCTTTTCTTGTAGTTTATTCAGAGGAGATACAAAGAGGGATTAAGAGTTAAGCACAGGCATACTTGTTTTACATTTTCAACCTTTTAGCACATAACTTACTTACAGCTCCAGTGCCTGTAATCACAATGATTTTACCTGATGGAACACGTATTTCAGAAATGTAATCCAACTGTTTACCCTAACACGCCATAAATTGCAATTCCTTTTAGAAACCTCAAAGATTGACAACYCTTGGTCCTAGATGCCGACTGCTTTAACACATACTATCAAGAAAATATTTATGCATTATTTGCTCTCAAGTTAGTACTACCTCATGTGAAATGCAAGATGAGTTTGCCTTCCAGGACATCAAAAGCCATTATTGAAGTACTCTGCCCTCATGGTGAGACCTGAAGTAACAGGCATTAGCAGACATGAACTTCTCTGAGTCTATTCCTTCCCCCAATCACACAGCACACAACCGTTAAAAAAAAAAAAAATACTCTTCTGCACAAATTATGATCATTTTCCAAACTACCTATTGCTCAGCACCTCTGGGTGAATTTATTAAACATAATTCAGCTTTAAATAGCCTGTATCTGGTATTCAAATTCACACTTACACTTGCCAATCCTCTCCCTGCAATATCAGGCAAATGCCTAGTTAAACAGATGGGCCTTGCAGCCCACCCAAAAAGCCAACAAACATGAGCTTTATTTAATTAAAAAGGGAAACAAATTTCTGAGGTGTAGACACACACACACACACACACACACACACACACACACACACAACACTCCTTGACTAGAGTGCCCCAGAATAAAAATAATAATTCTTGCTTTTTCGTTAGGTTTTCTGAGTGTCCAACTATATACTATTCTCTGGATTGAAAGTAGAATTAAATGAGATCACTCAATGCTATATATTCAAACCCAWCCACTCTGGGAAACAGTAGGACTATTTCTTTCTCAAACAGAGGAGAGCATTTACATCCAAAATGACCCAAATCCAACTCTGATCTTCATCTAACCCTAAAAAGGAGGTGTTTTCCAGTTCTTTCCTCATTTATAAGCTCTGCCCCATTATCTTCTCTTGCTATCCTCTTTCATCCCATGGACTACTTTAAATCCTATGTAATTAGCTCAGTTGTACATAACTAAGTTCAACACCTGATTTTACCTAAGTTTCAGACTGGAACACTCTCCCAGTAATTCAAATATTCTATGATAATAATTAAGGACGTCCTTAATATAATTAAGGACAAGGAGGCTATAAGAGAAAGAAAATGGGAGGAGGAAGGAAATAGACAAGCCCCATCTCCGTCAAAGAGGTGAATCATCCAGATCAAAAACCTCAGACTTTGGATATGTTTGGCAATACTCTCTTCCTTGGGCCCCACATCCAATAGATTAGTAACTAGTGTTCCCACTGTTCCTTTTAAAAAGACTTTTGTACCTGTTACCACATTTCTTTCATCCACACAGACCCTTCCAAATTTAAATGTTGTTACCTCTCCCCAGATGTCCCATTGAGATTTCCTAGCTCTTTCCCTCCATTCATTATAATACAGAGCTAGCAGATTTCCTTAGACTGTCTCCCTTCTGCATTTTTGACTCCCTCCTGACAAAAAAAAAAAAAAAAAAAAACCCAAATGCATAGTGTATTCAAAGCTTCCTATAACCTAGTCCAAACCTGGCCTCATCATCAATCCTTAACATTGGCCACTCTCTTAACTCACTGACTGACTCACCATTACCTACATACACACAATATTCCAGAATTATCTTCTATTGACTTTGCCACCTCACCTGGAAGGTTTTGAAAGGCTTTTCGTGCCAACTCTCCATCTGAACGTCCTTCACTTCTTCTAAGGCCAAACTCAGATTTTACTTTGTGCAAGGTGCCTTCCTGAGTTCCAAACAGAATCGGCAGTACAGGTACTAAGCTACTATCTCTAGCTAGGGATTCATCCTAGTGACTTGTATAATGTTGTTCGTTGACTCCCACCCCTGCTAAATTGTAAGATTCTTGAGAGCAGAAGCCTATGAAATTGTAGGTACTCAATAACACCTGTTAAATTGAATGAAGATCAGTACCACCTCTTTAAGTATTATTTGGAAACATATAACCCAAGTTTCAAATTCTCTATGTAGTGTCCTCTCCCTCTCCTTCTCCTTCTGCCTCTCCCTCTCCCTCTCTCTTTCTGTTCTTT